GGTGGCTGCGGAACCGGCGAGAGGTTGTGGAGATGATAGGCAATTTAGGCGGGCTCGGTACGATATGTAGTTTGAATGTTGATTTGTGGTTTTGTGTGTTTGGGTTCAATAAGAATGTCTTTGCAACTTGGTTATGATACATACAAAGTGAGTGATCTCATGTTTAACTGCTACAAATTTTATACGGCTGGCTGACATTTTGTCGATCCCAACTTCTGACATCAATCATGGGTTGGCTTCTAAGTTTAGGAAGTTTGGTCTATAAGAACAAGCCTATGAGCATAATCAGATCATGATGCAGCTTGTGATCAACAAAAATTACAGTCGAATGCTCAAACTTTAGCCTCACTTCCCCTATGCCGATGTTTTTTTTTTCTTTCCTTTTTGCTTTTAACATTAGCGGCAAAGAGACACGCGTACAAACACAGACAATTCAACTCACGGGGTGTTCCGCAATTCAAAAGTATAAGATGAAAATGTGTAAGTTACCTATTTTTTAAAATGACTTTCACATCCACGTCAGCATGCAAGTAAAATATAATGTTAGTTTGAAAAGTAAAATTATTGTTGAAAGTATAATGTGAAGATGATGTGGCAAAATATGATTAAATAGTAAAGAATAACATTTAATATCATTTACTTAAAATTGGTTATCATTTTTATGATTTTCATATGACTTCACCACTTTTTTAGGGAAAGTCAAATTTGTATTAAATTCTATATGACAGCTTTCTTGTATTTCACTTTTGTGACTACTTACAATTTAGGGCTGGATTGGTAGGTATACCAATTATATTTTTCTAGTACCAAGTACCAACCAATATATAATTGGTAGGAAAAATTCACCATTTCTACCAACCAATAACGTTGGTATACCAACTACTTGGTACGGTTGGTACTCGGTTGGTACGGTTAGTATTGGGTTTCTACCAAGTATGTCTTTTGCTAGTCAGTCTGTAGAAGCTCTAAGATCTTTCATACATATATGAGCTTATACCAAGTTTCTTACAATTATATTTTCATGTTGCTGTCTTTCGATTCACTGCTTCAACGAGTTCTTTTTTTGATGGAGGTCGATTTCGCTTAATAAATTTTAAAAAGGGTCTTTTTTAAAAATTTGTCCTTTTAAGAGACAATGGGCAACCAAGTTCTTGATAGGAGTTAAGATATACCTTCACGCCTTCAACTTGAGTTATAGTCTGTTTGATCGGTGCTAAGGTAGGTAAGGGGACACCAGCATCAACTAGTTCCATGACACTGTACATTATATTGAATGAGAAATCATATTAGATGATTAGGGAAAAAACCATATAAAGCAGCAAAATAACTTGAACCTAATTAATCAAACGAAAACTGCATGTATGCTAGTTAATGTTCATTTACAAGCCACTAATTGTGTCATAAAATGAATGTGAAATAGAAGAGTTAGACAACGTATTTGGTAGGTACGGTTGAGATTTATCTTCCCTAAATCTATGGTTGAGATTTAAGGATATATATATAATTTATATATTAAATAATTTAATATAATATAAGTTGGTAGGTACGGTATACCATGGTAGAGGAAAATGTGTACCACCTACCGTACCATATTTTGAAGCTGGTACGGTATACTGTACCGTGTACCATGTACCAATTTGATGGTATACCAACGTATTTGGTACGGTTGGTACATGAATTGGTTGGAATGGAATTGTGTACCATTGCCAGCCCTAACTTACATGCAAATGAACTTCTAAAATATTGAAAAGAAGTCACTTTCTCACTTTTTACTTGCAGACCAACAAACACCCCTAATAATAGGGAGATTATATATACACAGACAGAGATGTAAATGAAAGATCTGCACGATCTGCTCATTGTGATTTACATTTCAATATAACCAGGCTAGATCAAAATTCACTTTATATAAGATCATCTCTTTTAATAATTCAAAAATATCAAAGCTAACGGATTTTAAAACAGTTATTTATTTAAGATCATGGGATGCTCATGTTAGAAATTTCCATCCATATGATTTTCGCAAGTCTGAAAATCCGTAGCTCATAACTACCCACATGGAGAGTAAATGCGTTTCATTTAAATTTAGAGATAATGAACCCGGCTCGTATATTAGGGATGTCATTCTCTGTTAATGCTGAAGGTGGTGTTGTTCCAAGTGCTAAATCTGGCCCCGGAGATTTTAGGTTTTGTTCGGATACCATGGTGTTTTAGTTGTTGTATTTTTGTTAAAAAAATATCATTTTATTGTGTTTTCCCTCTAAAGTGTTTTTAAAACACCATGCTGAGTATTTTTGGTTGACACTTATTTGACCAATTGTAACATTAGTATTAAATATATTATTAATAGTAAATGTAATACAATATAATAATATATAATGTATTATTATATTATATAGTACTTCAATGTATTACATTATAATTATTACATATTATTTTCAAATTAAAATTTATTTAATTATTTGGTATATCAATTTGTTATTGCTATATATTATATAATATTATTAAAATAATATTATTTTATCATTAAAATAATATAATACTATTATT